AATCTACACTAAATAAAATAAATTGCAGGAAATTCGGTCAGTCAACACCGAAGAAAAAAAGTTTTCAATTATTGCACTTGTGCTTACATCATGAAAATTAACCTCGTTTTTTTTCAAACTCTATTTGTATCCACTTGTTTCCTTAACTAAAAACTACGGATAACCGGATATAATTTTTTTGGAAAATCTAAGGTAGCATCAAGCATAATATTTCCTTGGTTTTTTTGCATCACGAAATAAAGGGATAAAGAGCTGGCATAGTTTCTACTTTCATTAGTATCCGATATGGGTTAAAACGCCGCCTAGCTCTATAAAACGAAATTTATTCGGAACTAAATTGCGAGCTGGGCCAAACTGGTAGTTTTCTAATCTCCCTCATTTTATAAAAATGATTACAGGTCAGATGGTTTTAATTTTGAAGCTTAGGCATCAACTTTTTTGCACCAACCAAGTTAAAATGTGAAACTTTGCGAGGAGAAAAAGTTCAAAGCATGCATAAAAAATTCGTGTTTTAGTTTTATGTGTTTTTCAAAGTACACTAAAAGCCAATCATGTTAAAAATCTTTAATTGATGTGTGTTTTATTAATCAAGGCAGTCAAGGCGCTTTAGAAAAAATGGAAGTTGTTCATTATAATTTTTAAACACAATTTAATGCAGAAATATTAATTTCTTGCGATGATATTTTTTTCCGAAACATTCAGGTCGCAATGTCATAAAGATAGTTTATTTCCAAGTGATATATTGATGCAGTGAATAGCAGATGTTTTTTTAAAAAAAAAATCATTTCATCAACGAAACTTATGAAAGTGTTGTAGAGTTGGTTTACAAAAGATTTTCACAGCTAAGGAAACCCAGTCTAGTTAACTCATGTTAAGAAACTGCTCTAAATAATGCTGCTTCGTTAGAGCCTAGAACTTTTTTTCAATTTCGAAACTTTCAAGTCCGCAATTCTAAGTTCCCGCTCAGAATCTGCTAAAATTGTGACGCTCCCATTTGTTGCACCCTTTCAAGTGATTATAATTTAAAAGCCACCCTCGCAGCTCCAGAATGCCAATCAAGCTCAGATTTGACTGTAAGTCAAGAGCAGGGATTAAAAATATATTAGTGAAGTTACTATCGTCCTTGTATATCAACACCCTAAAATCTTCGCATTAGTCAACCTAGACAATCGATCAATAAAAAACAACTAAAAATACAACAAAAATCTGTAAACAGTGTCTACAAAAAGGAGTTTTGAGACTTGGACTTGGACTTGCATAAATATTCCGATAATGCATGCTTTACAAAAAGAACAAGATGTTGAGCAATAACCAATCACAAGAGAGCAGATTTTGTCTGCAAGTACAAATGGACAATTGGAAATAATCAAATTTATCGATCCCGCACCGAAGTTTCATGGATAATAATCGATTATACTGGATTTTTGTTGACAGTCTCAATAAAACTACAAAAAAATCGATTATAATCGATTAAAAATGGATTATAATGATACTGTTTTTCCAAGCAATATAATCCGAATATATTAGATTAAAATCGATTATATTCGATTATTTTTGAAAGAAAATGAAACTTGTTTTTAAAGCAAAATAATCCATTTTTAATCGATTATAATCGATTATAATTGCAAATTTCTTCTTTTAAATTTTCAGGAAAACTGTTACCAATGTCAATTGCTTAGTATGGAATAAATTAAATTCTCTTCAAAATATTTTCATAAGTTTTTTTTTCAAATTTTTGAAATTTTTTTTTGAAATTATGCGACCTCAAATTGATTTTTAAATACGGAGTTAGCTTCAAACGTGACAAAACGTGAGTAATTCTTGTAATTTATATTATTATACCCTGGAAACTTGGAATTTTTCTTGATTATACAACGTTAGTTCTTGATTATACCGGGAACTTTAATTCTTGATTATGACTGACCTTTTCCAGAAGGGTCACTCATAGTTATTCCAGAAATTAATACTTGAATTTTATGGTCGGGGCTGGCAGCTATTATGGTAAATGGTTTTCGCGAACAGAGAAGACTTGTTAAATTCATAAGATTTGAATTCTACTTTACTGGGGGGATTGAGTTATGCATCCTGTAAAACTTTTAAAAAGTCTTTTTTTTGTTGAAACCATTTACCATTTTTTCTGCCCATCCCGACCAAGATGTTTTCAGCTGCATACCAAATTGTTTGCATACTAAATGCTTTTTAAAAGATGAGTCGTGAGATAGCTGATTCCGAACAATGAGCAAATGATTGGCTTTTCAAGAACTTTTTGTTGAAAAAAAAAGGATTATAATCAATTATATTGAATTTAGGGTTAAAAAAATTGATTTTTTGTTGAGAAAAATGGATGATAATCGATTATAATGGATTATAATGGATTTCAATTTTTCAAAAATAATCGATTATATTCGATTAATAATCGATTATGTGGTCTAAATTTGACATGATATTCGATTATATTGACAACATTTTAGTAAAAAAAAATCCGTTATAATTGATTATAATGGATTATAATGGATATAAATTTTTCCAAAATATTCGATTATAATCGATTAAAAATCGATTACGTGGTCTAAGTTTGACATGATAATCATTTATATATTGACAACATTTTAGTCAACGAGAATCCATTATAGTCGATAATGACCCATGAAACTTCGGTGCGGGATACCATCCGGGTTGACAAAAATGCTTCTCATACAATTTCATACCATTCAAAAGAATAAAAACATGTCGCGGAAACCATTTACCATAATAGCTGCCAGTCCCGACCATAAAATTCAAGTAATAATTTCTGGAATAACTATGAGTGACCCTTCTGGAAAAGGTCAGTCATAATCAAGAATTACCGTTCCCGGTATAATCAAGAATTAACGTTCCCGGTAAATTCTTGATTATGAGTGACCTTTTCCAGAAGGGTCACTCTTAGTTATTCCAGAAATTATTATTTGAATTTTATGGTCGGGGCTGGCAGCTATTATGGTAAATGGTTTTCGCGAACAGAGAAGACCTGTTAAATTCATAAGATTTGAATTCTACTTTACTGGGGGGATTGAATTATGCATCCTGTAAAACTTTTAAAAAGTCTTTTTTGTTTGTTGAAGCCATTTACCATTTTTTCTGCCCATCCCGACCAAGATGTTTTCAGCTGCATACCAAATTGTTTGCCTACTAAATGCTTTTTAAAAGATGAGTCGTGAGATAGCTGATTCCGAACAATGAGCAAATGATTGGCTTTTCAAGAACTTTTTTTTGAAAAAAAAAATGGATTATAATCAATTATATTGAATTTAGGGTTAAAAAAATCGATTTTTTTGTTGGGAAAGATGGATGATAATCGATTATAATGGATTATAATGAATTTAAATTTTTTAAAAATAATCGATTATATTCGATTAAAAATCGATTATGTGGTCTAAATTTGACATGATAATCGATTATATTGACAACATTTTAGTCAATAAAATCCATTATAATTGATTATAATGGATTATAATGGATTTAAATTTTTTCAAAATATTCGATTATAATCGATTAAAAATCGATTACGTGGTCTAAGTTTGACATGATAATCGTTTATTTCAACAACATTTTAGTCAACGAAAATCCATTATGGTCGATTATGACCCATGAAATTTCGGGGCGGGATACCATCCGGGTTGACAAAAATGCTTCTCATACAATTTCATACAATTCAAAAGAATAAAAACATTCTTTGAAAATCACAAGATGAGAAAACCAACAGTGAATTGTAAATATACAACGTATTGCTAGATACGAACTCATATAAAAAATGATTTTCACTCAAAATAATAACAAAAAATTTTTTTTATTTAAGGCTACAAAAAACTCTTTCAAAACTCAGACACTGAAATTGTTGCCTGTTTTTTGGTTAAATTTATGTTATATCGAATCATTTAAAACTAAAAAATACAAATTCTGCCATCACAAAGAACGTTCAATGTGACCCTTGATTCTCTGCGTGGACTGTGCGTGGTCTACGTTATAAGCAACAATTTGAAAATTTGAAAAATGTTTATTTTTTGTTCTTAAAATTGGTTTAGCAACTAAAAAGAATATTATAAAAAATTGTTCCCTCAGGTTTTTAACATTTTGTACGGAAAAACGGCTTATCGAGCATATATCATAAAAAGAAATCGTATGATAAGGATTTTTCCATAGAATCCATGCATGGAATTGAATAATGAGCATTTTTGTTGTATGGAAGTCAACCCGGGCAACAAAAATGAAAAATCTTAATCGGGATGCCTTTAGTTTAGATAATTTTTTTCATCAATAATTCATTTCTAGCACTGGTATCTTACTCTTCGTGGCGTTTCTTTTTTCGAGTTAGGTAGGTGACAGTCCCGGAGTACTCTCTCGGAGACCCTATTTACAGATTTTTGTTGTATTTTTTTTCTTCCTAGATCCATTATCTGGGTCAACTTTCACGACTATTTCAGGTGCCAGTATAGCTATTTTGCACCGACAATCACTATAAAAAAAATTTCTGACAAGTGTGCAAAATCAACCTAAAAATTTTAAGTGCCTTTTAATTAAAACTGTTTGTCAGCCAAAAGTGGCATGCTAATTAAACACTATAAAGTTTTTTTTTGTTTTCCTATAATGTTTCAGCAGATCACTTTGTTTTTTTAACTATTATTTGATGACACAAAATTTCAAGCTACTATGGCCGAGTGGTTAAGGCGTTGGACTTAAGTTCCAATGGACATAAGTCCTCCTGGGTTCGAACCCCAGTGGTAGCAGAAACTTTTCGAAAATGAGATAAGAAAAAGCTCATAAACAAAACATTTACCTTGTTGAGTTATTGAACTTTTTTTCCGAAAAAAATTTTGTTTGGGCCTCTCTAAAATATATTAAAGAACTTGAGTTATATTTTTCTGCTGACGAGCTAAGAGTTATGATAGTTAAAGAGCTCAAGTATTTTATATATCATCTAGGCATTTGTATGATGGCACTGGAAGAAAAGAAAGAAAACGTACTCGAGTTCTGGTAGAGTGTGATTCTGGTGTAGTGGTCCTTGTTCAAATAGAAAGCACAGTTGTTGTCTGAGTCATAGTCACACGCGTACACATTCACAGGGATCTCCGCCGGGTCAGGCAAGTCCACCTGACCTCTGTGGATCTGAACCAGTTTGCTGATGGTGGCTACCTCCATCCGCTCATACACGCACACCTGGACAAAGAAGCAAAAATGAGGTCAACTGACGTTCTGGTTTGAGATTAAACAAGGTAGATCTTTAAACTGTCGACAGGTAACTTCCATAACTTACTTGGGAATCCCATTTGTCACAACTTTGCCCAAACGTTTTTTTTTTAATTTAGCGCTGCAATTCTGGTATCTGATGTGATCTACTGAAACCATTTACTGATAACACTTCTTGATGATTTCATAACGAAATTATGGACTGTCAAATAGGTCTCAAAGTACTCACTCTACGACAAATGATAAGCAGCTAAATGGTGTTTTTGGTGTTCTTCTAATATATGATTTTGTTTTGGATAAGTTTTGTAAATTGTTGCAGCGCAAATATAAAACAATAGTACAAATGCATATAAACGTAAATGTGCGAAAGTATAAATGCATATAAATGTAAATGAATACAGGGACAGTAGCCAAGCGTATACATGGTGCGTCCCGGCGGGTTCGGCGCCGGTTCGAATCCCGACTAGGTCATTTCCTTTCTAGAACTCGAATGTGCACCGAACCTGATGGGATGCTCCGTAACCAGGTTCGGTCCCCCCAAAACCCATTTTAACCGTCTTTTCGCTCTAATTTGGTTCAGCCTTGATTAAGGCTGACCTTTAAAAAGAGCAATTTGTCTCAAGGACAAATACTGGCCATTTTTGCAGCTTGCTTTGAGTTATGCAGTTTTTTGTGGCCGATGTTACCGATGATAAAGCTTGTTGAAAATTATAAATTATCGTTATATTTTCAAACTTCCGGAGTTATTTTGCCGAGAAAATACTCATTAATTAAAGTGTTTGAAAACCGTTTTTTATATAATCGTGGAGATTTACGCGCACATTTTGGCGCCCCACAAGGGACAGTTAGTGCCCTGATTGTTTGGCAGTTTGACGACACGAGTGTCCAAATAGCCGAAAGTCACCACAGTGCTCAGTTGACCGACAGTCATCATAGTGATCACTTTGAACGAGTGTTTGTTTGGCCGAGTGTTTCTTTGGCCTATTTCTAGACACGACGAGTATTCATTTGGACGAACTGTGCGATTGGCCGAAATCTCCAGAGTGATCAGTTTGGCCGAGTGTTTATTTGGTCGAGTGTTTATTTGGCCTATTTCTAGACACGACGAGTATTCATTTGGACGAACTGTGCGATTGGCCGAAATCTCCAGAGTGATCAGTTTGGCCGAGTGTTTATTTGGTCGAGTGTTTATTTGGCCTATTTCTAGACACGACGAGTATTCATTTGGACGAACTGTGCGATTGGCCGAAATCGTCAGTGTGATCAGTTTGGCCGAAAATACGAAAATATCAGCTAACAGAGGGCCGAAAGTGGGCGTTTGACCGAAAGTGGGCGTTTGGCCGAAAGTGGGCGTTTGGCCTAAAATATCAGATACCAGTTGGCAGAAAGTGAGCGTTTGGCCGAAAATATCAGATAGCAGTTGGCCGAAAGTGGGCGTTTGGACAAAAGTGCACGTTTGGCCGAAAGTTAGCATAGCGTATCCAGTTGGCCGACAGACGACATAGCAGACGGACGAATAAGCAGACTGACTAGCGGAAGAGAGCCCTGTTCAGGTGTCCTGATTGTTGACTTTTGGTCAAAGTGGAGCTGTAATTTTCTCGACACCCGAAGTTTTTGGATTTTTCCCGGTGACGCCAATCTCCAAAACCGTCAAAAACTGTAAGACTATTCTAATTTTTACAAACTTGCAATAAAATTACGTACGATGTGTTAATGTCTTATTGTGTATCCCAACTCAAAGCAAGCTACAAGTGGTAATTTTCCCGATACCACAAATTTTTGGGTAATTGTGAGCGGATTGAAAATCCAAAAAATCGGATCATAGACAAGGGGTACTAGACTAGTTTTTTGGATTGGTTTACGGCTCGAACCTGCTGACCAAAATTTTCCGAAAAATTTTGGGAAAAAAGTAAGAAATTTCCAAAAAATCGTCAAAACGTCCCCATAATTCTGCGAAACTGTGCTGTAACATGACACCAACCTAATGTTAAGTGGTCAGGTACTGTGATATTAAGTGAGTTAAGTTGAATTCTTTCATCCTCAGGTTTACTCCGTGTGCGTTGTTGGAGTTCAACCGACCTACTTAATTTCCCCACCCCATTGGTTCAAGTGAATCTAAGCCGTTTCAGCTCGTCCGATTATTGACTTCGTTGCGCGACACTAATGTTAAGTGGCCAGGTACGGTGATACTAAGTGAGTTAAGTTGAATTCTTTCATCCTCAGGTTTACTCCGTGTGCGTTGTTGGAGTTCAACCGACCTACTTAATTTCCCCACCCCATTGGTACTTTAGCGTAACGTAGCCGTCGCATAGGTCTCTTGAGTGTATGGTATTCATTCTAGGAGCTAGTTCTCTAGATCACGCGCTCCGTACACTATCCGCGCCGTCTCAAAAGCGCGTGAAAGAGACTTGTTTCACAAAGCCCGGTTTAAGCTTGGACTTTAACGCCAGGTAAAAGTATTTGTGGATTTACTTGAGTGAAAATACAGTTTTTCTGAGAGTCGTTTATTTCTGAAATTATTAAGCATGGAAGTTAAGTTTCAGAAGAAAATTAAGAAGTTGTTTGAGAAACGTAGCAATCTCGAAAACGAACTTTATAAATGCCATGAAATAATTTTAGAATACATAGAGAGTCAGAGTCGTTGCTCAAAAATTGATACTTATATTGAAAAATGTAGGAACTATATAGAACAAGCGGTCGAGATAAATACTGAGTTGATTGATATGGCTGCAAAAAGTGCCAATCCCGACGAATTGATACCGGCACAGGATATGTGGCTTCATAAGTTGACTCAAAGCAACGATAAAGTTCTGCAGGAAGCTATCACATATAAAACAAGTTTTGAGGCAGTAACAGAGCCGGACAAAATAGATAGCAGCTCAAAAGTTTCTCATCATTCTGAAAAAAGTGAAAAACCCCGGTCGCATAAAACAGATACCCGCTCTAAGTTGTCGCACCGAAGCAGCCGACATCAGCAATCAGGTTCTCAGAAATCTAGTTATACCGCCGCTCCGTCGAAAACACTTTCTGAGAAAAAACGCGACTTAATGATTTTAAAGAAACAACAAGACGAACTTGAGAGGCAGGCAAAGGTATCATTAAGACTGAAAGAGCAGCAAAACAAGATGAAACAATATGTTTTAGAACAACAAAGCAATTTAGAGTTGGAAGAATTGGCTGAAGAACATAGGAAAAAACTGGCAGAAATTGAGTTGAAAGGGCTTGAGTTAGAAGATGAGTTGTCGGAAATCAGCGAGAATGCTGAGGAAAGTGGTTTAACTCGAATCTCTCCACAACTAACAATAGACGAAAAGGATCGTACGCGTCACTGGGTCGAATCTGTCGACCACAATCAGCCTGATGCTGTTGTAGTTCCCAATCAAGAGCAGCACGTTCGTTCAACAGCTCCTGAGGCAACTTATCCTGCATCAACAAATTACTTGGTCTCATCAAGTTTTACAGGAGTGAATAATGGCCAGGCAGCTTCTAGTGATCCGGGATTGTATTACAGTAACCACATTCACGGACAACAACATAATTGGTCGAATTTGGTTCGATCGCAGGTTTCCGTTAACAATCCAGTAGGGTTACAGCAGGTCATGCAACCTGTTTCCAATAATTTGCCTCAGCAAACTTTTTTGTCCACTCATCCGGGGCTAGGCAATCCAAACACAGGTTCAGTAGTCCCGGTAACTTCTGAAAACTATTTTGCTCCGCCACCATCTGCAGAAGTTCCTTCTGGTGTAACACCGTTTGTTCCTGCATCAACAGCAGTTAATCATGTTTCTTTAAGTCATCACACTGCAGGATCAGTAGTAGCTGGCTACCAAGCACCTGTAGCCCCATCACAACAACATATGGGTGTTCCCGTTAGTAGTTATAACTTTTCAAGTGACCACTACAATCCTTATAGTAATTTGTGGAGACCAGCTGTTGCTACCCCTTTAATGTCAACTCAACAGCACTACGTTCCTTCGACAACTGTTTTTTCCGCAGTAACTCCGATTGTTCCTACGAATAATTTTGTTCCTTATACAAGTGGAGGGACTGTGTTCTTTGCGCAGCCTGAGAACTTTTCACAAGCTAATCAACCGTTCGTTCCTGATTGTCACGGTAACTCTTCGAATTACACAGAGCCAACTCCCGGTAATTCACCTGGTGCAGACGTCGAGCGTCCACTTTCGACACGAGAGTTGGTTAATTTACTCATGCACAGCCGAAAAGATCATCTCCCTGAGTGGAAGCTGACCCAGTTCGATGGCAACCCACTTAATTGGCATGAGTGGTTTGGGCAATTCACATCGACGGTCGATTCAGCCATACTCAGTGACGATGAAAAGCTTACCTATCTGAAAACGCTCGTAGTGGGTAAAGCAAAATCCGCAATCGCTGAGTATAGCTATAGCGGAGTACTATATAAAGACGCATTAGCAACTCTTCAAAGAAAATTCGGGCAGCCGCATGCTGTAGTAGGGGCTCACCTAGATAAATTGAGTAATTTTCCGCCGCTGAAAATGCATAACTCGGAAAATGTAATTGGATTTTCCTCTGCAATTTCTGGACTTGTTGCCGTATTCAAGTCTCTGTCTTTTAACGACGACCTGAAAAGTGTTAACTTACTGAATCAGGCTGTGAGTAAGCTTCCCCCGAACCTTAAGGAGTCATGGTCGATGCAAACCGTAAGACGCCAATGGCATAGACCAACTCTGCTAGATTTCAATGAATGGCTCAAAGAAAAAGCGGAGGGTCATGAGAGGCTGAAAACGATCAATTCTAAGGGTAAGTCTGAAGAACCAGTTAAACAAAAAGTAGTTACAAAAGTGCTTGCAGGTAACACTAAGGTAAGTTCTAAGGATGAGAAAAGTAGAGAAAAGACAAGGTTTCCTCCATGCTCGCTATGCAAAGGGCAGCATGCACTCTGGAACTGTTCCGTGTTCAAAGAGAAAAACGCAACACAAAGGGCTAAATATGTAGCAGAACAAAAGCTCTGTTTTTCTTGTTTACAAGGCAACCATACCTTCCGAAAGTGCCAAAAGGCAAGAAAATGCCCAAAACAGGACTGTGAGAGCACTCACAATGTGCTTCTTCATGGAGCCGAGAAAGTTTTCCCGCCCAAAGAGGCCGACCGATCACCATCGACTCAAACTAATACAAACACTACTTCTGCAAATAACGCAGCTTGTGTTAAACCTTGTGAGGGAACTGCAAAAGGTATTCTTCCCGTTGCGTTGGTAGATGTGTCCTCTGGTTCGGAAAATTCGAATGCACTAGCACTTTGTGACACCGGTTCCACTCATTCTTGGGTTTCCGCGGCACTCGTTGAACGTCTGAAATTAGTTGGTACGCCCGTAAATGTTACGACCGATGGTTTTAACTCAGCCAAGGTATCTAAAACTCAACGAGTTCACTTGAAAGTTTCCGCAAAGCCCAATGAAAGTGAATTTTCGTTTTCGTTTGTCGCTTTCGTTAAGCACAACATGTATATAGGACCCGATGTTATAAACGTTTCCGAATTGCAGGTCAAATACCCGCAACTAGCCTCGTTAAAGACGACTGCGTATAATTACAAAGAGATTGAGGTAGTTATAGGACAGGACTTCTATCATGCGATAAGACCCCTCGAACATGTCTTCGGAGATGAACTTGACTCACCGTGCGCCGTCCGACTTCCGATAGGTTGGGTCATTAGTGGTCCGTCTCCTGATCGTTCGTCCTTAAATTCTTCTTCCTTTAACTGCGTTACGGACGATACTTCTCTGACCGACCAAATCAAAACTTGGTATGAGTTAGAGTCGTATGGTGCGTTCAAGCAAGTAGATGCCCGTTCCGCCGCAGACAAGCGTGCTTTGTCGATCCTAAAAACTGAAACCGTTCACGATGGTGAGCGTTACACTGTACCGATGCTGTGGAGTGATAATGATGTTAGCTTGCCTAACAATTATTATTCTTCATTAGCCCAATTAAAGTCGTTAGAGAAAAGATTAGATAAAGATCCGTTACTTCGCGAGAAGTATACCGAAACAATCAGAGAAGATATAAGTAAAGGATATGTCATAACCGTCAACCCGCACGATCCCAGCTCACGAGCCGAACGTGAGTGGTATCTTCCACACCATCCGGTTTTGAACCCGAACAAACCCGGCAAGGTGCGCCGTGTGCTCAATGGAGCATCCAAATTTCATGGCACTTCCTTAAATAGATCTCTCTTAGTTGGCCCGGATCTCCTTCAAAATCTTATTTTTGTACTGTTGAGGTTCCGTCAACACAAGTACGCCGTCTCAGCGGACATAGAAGGTATGTTCTTACAAGTTGGAGTACTTGCGCGAGATCAACCGTCTCTCCGTTTTTTGTGGCGGGAGGACCCCACTTCAAGTGTGGTGGTTCACCAATACACCCGTCATATTTTTGGCGCTCGTGATTCGCCAACTTGTGCGAATTTCGCGCTACAAAAAACTGCTTCTGATAATCAAGCTGAATACCCCGAAGCCGCTTCAGCCGTTGTCCAGAAGTTTTACATGGACGACTATCTTGACTCGTTCGAAAATACCGCTGACGCTCTTAGCCTAAGTAAAGACTTAGTCGCAATGCTCAAATTAGGTGGGTTTAACCTGACAAAGTTTGTTAGCAATGTACCCGAAGTTACAACCGCTCTTAATCCGGACAACCATGAGTCCAACCCGTCAGTTAAGGATATTTGTAAGAGTCCAGACCAATCGTCGCATGTTCTTGGTCTCAGGTGGGATCATGTAAAAGATACCCTAGTAGTAAGTAGAGGTGTTGATCGACCACTAGATAAAGCAATTACTCAACGCACCGTGTTGAGTTTTGTTTCCTCAGTTTTTGATCCATTAGGACTGGTAGCTCCATATACTGTGAAAGCGCGGCTTTTACTAAAAGACATATGGAGAATCAGTGGTCAAAAGTGGGATGATGATCTCCCAGAGGAAATTAGACAACAATTTCTAGATTGGCACTCAGGACTTCCACTACTAGGTACTCTGACGATACCTCGTAGCTACTTTACCGAACCGTTCGACCGCTGTGAACTTCACACGTTCGGTGATAGTTCGCAGGACGTTTTTTGCGCCGTATCGTTTCTCCGAGCCCGACTTGCTAAATCGCAAAAGACCGAGTTAGCTTTTGTATTTGGGAAAGCCCGTGTAGCGCCTATGAAGATGCTCTCCATTCCCAAGTTAGAGCTTCAGGCTGCTCTGCTTGCGACTCGACTCAAAGAAGAGATTTTGAAAGCGCTTACTTTTAAAGTAAGCAATGTATTCATGTGGACTGATTCTACCACCGTTCTCCAGTGGCTTAACTCGTGCAACAAACTTCCTGTGTTTGTTGGAAACCGCACTGGTGAAATCTTGGAGTCCACCACCATTGATCAATGGAATCATGTACTCAGTGGTGATAACCCAGCTGATACCGGCACACGAGGGATTTCTTCGGAAGCCCTCAAGGATAGCAGCTGGGTTAGAGGCCCTAGTATATTGAGGACATGTGATTGGCCATTCAAGCCGAACACTGATGTCATCAAAAAGATCCAATTAAAAGGCCCACTCTGTGACATTGATACATGCCTTGAGACTGCATCTACGTTTGTTGTTGATGCTTCATCTGAGAAAGCGCCGTCGATCCGTCTGTTTAAAAATTGGGATAAATTCAGCTCAATTGTAAAGTACAAACGTGTTTTAGCATTTATGCTTCGTGTGCTACCATCGCATAAACACTTCCGTACAAAAACGCTGGAAATAACCGACCCGTCCGAGTTAGATATTGCCGAGCAGAAGCTCATTTATCTCGCTCAGTCCGAATCATTTCCTGCCGAAGTGAAAATACTTCAGTCCGATAAACTGATAACAAAGAAAAGTCGGATTGCTAAATATTCTCCGTTCATCGGCCCAGCTGGCATCCTGCGTTCAACTGGACGTATCAGCCGTCTTGTTGATACCGACTTTGATAGCAAACATCCAATAATACTGGATGGTCGACACCGAGTTGCTCATATGTTGATTAGGCATATGCACTTTCAACATGCACATCAGGGGTTGAATTACATGCGGGCTGTAGTTCAGTTGAAATACATTGTTCTGAAGTTGCGCTGGTTACTTGGGAACATCGAAAATACTTGCATAACATGCCGTAAGCGCAAAGCAAAAACAGTTGTGCCCATTATGTCTGACCTACCGATTGAAAGACTGGGTTACAAGCAGCCTCCTTTCTCCAACACAGGTGTTGATTACTTTGGCCCGTTTCAAGTGCCAATACGCCGAAGTACCGAAAAGAGATGGGGTTTCCTATTTACCTGCCTCACGACTCGAGCAGTTCACATCGAGTTGGTTCCATCTCTCGATACTAGTTCCTGCGTCATGGGCGTAGAGCGATTTATTGCAAGGCGAGGTACCCCCAAAACCATTCTTTCTGACAATGGCACGAATTTTGTTGGTGCTCAAAAGGAGCTCCTATCCTGTGTCCAAAATTGGAACAAAGTCGCCCCGGCCGTTTTCGTCCACAAAGGCGTTAAGTGGAAGTTTAACCCGCCCAGTGCCCCTCATCACGGCGGCGCCTGGGAGCGGCTAGTGAGAAGTGTTAAGCGAGTGTTGTACGACATATTAGGCAGCAGGAGATTAACTGAGGAAGTTCTAGGAACAACGCTCTGCCTAGTTGAACAATTACTTAACGCAAGACCGATCACTCCGGTCAGTTCCGATCCGCACGACCTAGAGGCACTCACCCCGAATCACTTCATTCTCGGTCACAGCGCAGCTAGCTTCCCGTCGTTAAGTTTCGAAGATAACTTTAATCATAAAAAGCGTTACGCCAGAGCACAATCGTACGCTAACGCAGTTTGGTCACGCTGGCTGCGTGAATATGTACCATCTCTCAACAAGAGAGCAAAGTGGCATAATGATTTGGATGTCACACTGAAAACCGGCGACTTGGTTTGGGTAGTCGAACCCGACAGCCCACGTGGGCATTACCCACTCGCCCGTATTGCTAAACTACACTACGGTAAAGACGGATGCGCGCGATCCGCCGACATAAAGACCGTTACGAGCGAACTGACCCGCCCGACCGTAAAGCTCGCTCCCGTTCTTCCTTGTTTAGGGGTGGAGGATGTTGCAGCGCAAATATAAAACAATAGTACAAATGCATATAAACGTAAATGTGCGAAAGTATAAATGCATATAAATGTAAATGCATACAGGGACAGTAGCCAAGCGTATACATGGTGCGTCCCGGCGGGTTCGGCGCCGGTTCGAATCCCGACTAGGTCATTTCCTTTCTAGAACTCGAATGTGCACCGAACCTGATGGGATGCTCCGTAACCAGGTTCGGTCCCCCCAAAACCCATTTTAACCGTCTTTTCGCTCTAATTTGGTTCAGCCTTGATTAAGGCTGACCTTTAAAAAGAGCAATTTGTCTCAAGGACAAATACTGGCCATTTTTGCAGCTTGCTTTGAGTTATGCAGTTTTTTGTGGCCGATGTTACCGATGATAAAGCTTGTTGAAAATTATAAATTATCGTTATATTTTCAAACTTCCGGAGTTATTTTGCCGAGAAAATACTCATTAATTAAAGTGTTTGAAAACCGTTTTTTATATAATCGTGGAGATTTACGCGAGATTTGTCAAATAGGTCTCAAAGTACTCACTCTACGACAAATGATAAGCAGCTAAATGGTGTTTTTGGTGTTCTTCTAATATATGATTTTGTTTTGGATAAGTTTTGTAAATAGTAAGCATATTGTTTTCTCTCGAAATGTCTAATGTTACCTTGGTTGCAGTCGCGAACAGTGAAATTGCATTGCTGATCACTAGCCCTACGTCTATGCACCCTGGACTGTCATAAGTGTACGTGAACACTAGTTGTCCATCTGTGCCAGCGGGCATGAAGGGTGACTCATCCAGGTGTTGGTCCAGCACTATGTTCTCCTTCTTGTCAACTATGAAGTAGGCGGTGGCGTTGGTGGGGAAGTTGGCGGAGAAGAAGCCCAAGTCACTCTGGGATATGGTGACAGTAAACACACCTGAAAAGGACCACAGTAGCCACACAGTTGGAAAAGTGTCAATGATTTCGGTGTTAAAAGTGTCAACAAAGAGCTAACGTTCAATTTTTACAGAAAAAATTCATATAAAGTTTTTTGAGTTGCAACGTCATTTTTATGATTGACAACTTTTTCAAAAACGCAAGCCCAAAATGAAAATTAAAAAAAATGGGCTAACAACATGTACTTTTTTGAATGGCAATCTTGAAAATTAAATTCCAATAGTGAAACTGGAAATCATTCATGATTTTTCTTGCGCCACTCGCACATTTGTTATTGAGAGCTGTTGATAATGAAGATAAAAATAAAAATTATAAACATGCTTTGTCATTCGAAAGGTTGATCAAATTGACTGCGACCATTCGGCAGTAGAAAAAATTATCAAAAAAGCTGGTCCCGATGACTCACCATCTCCCAAATAGTTGCCAGCATTGTCCGTCACTCCGCAGGGACATCCGATGTTGTGGTCGGAAAACAGGACGTCATACTTGTCATCTGGGACGGGGTTGTAGGCCACGACAGTCCAGCAGGTGGTGTCTTCTGAGATCTCATTGATCGCATGCACACACACTTCGTACTCGCCAGCCGAGGAGTACGTGTGGCTTTCCAGAGTGCCTGCCAGGAAGTCCACTGGACCGTAGCTGCTTCCGTCTCCCCAGTCGATGTCGAGAGACACCGCGTACTGGTAAGCTGGAAATTAGTGGTTTTTAAGTATGAAACGGGCTTGCTTTTAACCAAATTGGTGACCAGTGTTTTCATGTTCATGATCCTGAATTTTAATATCATGAGTAGATAATATCAAACGCGCTTTTCAAATATAATTTTTCACTAATATCAAAGGTTGACTCGCAGTGGTACAAAAACATTGGAGCCAGTCAGTCAAACAGGGAGCATCTTTTACAAAGTGAGGCAGCTGAACTCCTGTGGTGGGGATCGATCATATCTCCTTCTATATATTGATTAAGCCTCAAAGAACCCTTCTTGGCTGACCCGAAGGATTGTCGAGATTGATGAGCAAGTCGTAGCGAGAGCCCACGGCTGCGAACGGGTGGTACTCGTACAGTCCCTCGGCCAACACGTTGCTGAAGCCCTCATAGGAGAACACCTCGAATGTGAAGTAGTAGACAGGCACTGTTTTGGTCACGCCGTCCACCACTGTCGTCAAGTTGAGGTCCGCTTCGTCCGCGAACTTGTCAGCTGTCACCCAGATCTCCACCTGATAGGGCTCTGCTCCGTCGGGGGTTCTACAATAAAATTAGGAAACGCATGTAATTCTGCATTTACAAGTTACCTTCTCCTCGTTACACGATTTGATATGGTAAAAAAGTGAATTCAGTTTGCGAAAGAAAACTTTGGATGATTGCAAACTCCTGCAGTGCAACATAATGTTTTTTTCATCCTAGAAATCGCTTTCATGATTGAAGCTAATAGCGATACTTTATTTACAGAAATTGTAGTTTTTTAGTTTAACTGATTAAGACGAACTATCCACAAGGGAGAAGACCCGATCTGTTGTGCCACTGGTCAGGAGTAACATGAAGTGCAACTTTTTGACTAAATTTCAGGGCAACCTCCCCCCTTTCGAATGACAAGCGGAGACTTAGCAATTTCAACACCACTCCTAAAAATTATGACACACAAGGAAAAGAGCCCAGTTACCTTTGAACGCATGAATACAATCAGGAAAAACCAACTAAATCAAGACTATTCATCCAGGGGGCAAGCAATGCGCAAGAGAGGTGATGTCTCGTCCAAACTCAAATTTGCATCTATCCTTTTTTTGGAAACTTCCATGGTAACAAACAGCACTTACGGTAGGTTGTTTGTGAGGTTGATGGCCGAAGGTTGAGCCAGGAATCCCTGGAACGCCCACTTGATCCCAGTGTCAGTGCTGGCCTCAGACCCCATGGAGAGAGTGGTGTCGGCGGCATTAAACTAAAAGGAGAGGAGCTCACGTCCAAATAGCTTGCAATCTTCTAAGCCACTGATATGAAATAATCGGATGAAGTGAAAAAAATTAAATTTTCAAAATAGTTTTTATCAATATCGCTTGACTTTGGACTAAAAAAAGTGTTGTCAAAAATTGTTTGGAATTAATCAGCGACTTCAAAAATTCACCCTTGAACGAGTCAGTTCTTTTGATTCAAAATTACGGGGAAAACAAGCTCAATTGATGTAAAAATAACTATAATTGAGCTTGTCTGCCCCCGTAATTTTTGCACCACCATGTAGTTGTGAATTTTTGCCTTTGTTTCAGGGAATTTTGTTGAATTATTGAGTTATCCAGAAATTCATTCAATTTTGAGAGTACTGCGCTCACGAAACTGTTTTTTTTTGAAAATAGTGGTTACCAAACTCTAAACTTAAAAGCATTGCGCAATTTTTTACACTAGAGGTCTAAATTTCAAAATGCAGGCAAATTGCTATTTATTAAAAGCCAGGTTGAATGTGATTTTACTGACAGTTAGGAGAAAAACTGCATTTGAAACGGGCTTTAAAACTTGCACGAGGAGTTTATCAAATTATCTGACATATTTCTTGGAAATTTAACAACTAGACAATATACAATGACTGATCGAACATTTTGATTTTTAAAAAAACAATACTTTTTTCAGCAATTAGCGGGCAGTGTGTGTTCAAAATTTGAGAGTCGACTCATTCCACGTGTATTGTAACAATTTTTTGAAATGCAGTTTGAATCTAAAATTATCGTAACAGAGAACATGCAATAGAGGATACATCGCTATTTTCATGGAAACCGGCAACTCGCACAAACAAATAAATCACGTTGTTTGCCCGTTTAGTTACCGAACACGGCCATTTAGTTTGTGGAAAACGCTGCGATTCGCGCGCATTATGCCACTCATGGGGAATGTGAGCGGAGCGGATTAAGCAATCGCTTCTACCATTAATTATCAAGCTTGCAAATTATAGCTTTTGTATTTTGGAAGTTGTTTTTTTTTTAAAACGATTCTTCTTGTACACTTTTGTAAAACAATACTTTTCTAGTTAACTAGATTCAAAAATACAAAAAACTGTTTTGTGTTAAATTTGAGACAAGAAGTAGTTTGCATCCTAAGAATAAGATACTAAGTGCAAACATAGTCATTTTTTCGTTATTTCATCTCATTCGATCCTTTTCGCAGCAGATTCTATTCTATGTTTTGAATCTTTATTCGAGAAAGAAATTTTCTGGCACACGATAGTATTTAAATTTCAGTTCGGCCTGAGGGCCTTGGTCGATCAAGGAAGTCTATCTTGCAAGATTTTGCATCATTCTTGCAAATGAGGTTTATCTTACAAGATGGAGGTTATATGCAAGATCTTGCAAGAGTGAGGTTATCTGGCAAAATCTTTTGAAGATATTCATCAGTTTTTTTTTAAATAGGTTTTTTAATAAAAATCGACTAGGGGGTCTTTAATAAAAGTTGAAAAGTCATTTAAAACTAGAACTTTTGACAAAGAGGCGAAGCTTCGCTTCGCAAACACTTGCGAGAAAACAAAAAAGCAGCTCTATAAAGTGCGATAATAAAAATTAGAAAAAGCCTCGAATTAGTAAAATTACGGCTATTTCTCAGCTTTGAAACTTCGACCTAATGATTTAGATTTTCATACACTAACCACACAGATAAGGAAGCATAGTTGGCAGCAAAAACTAGCCACAAATAAAGCAGAGAACAGATGCTATGCAATTTCCAATGCTACAGTGTTTATTTAACATTTTATTTGTGAGTTAGCTTAGAAAAAAAGTAAGGTTTGTAATAATACACTCAACTGATTGCAAGTGTAAAAAACAAAATTTTTCATTTCAAAAGCTTGAGCTACATTTTTGAGTGAAAAAAATATCAGATAAATTAGGTCACTTTGTCAATTTGAATTCAAAAAATCTTTTCTGCGAAAAATCTGAAAAAAAATCTTAATACAAGTTTCTTAATATAAGTTTAATACAAGTTTCTTTTTCGTCTTTGTATTCATTTTTTGAAAAAATTGCTGTGACTATGCTCAACTTACTACTACTATCGAGTATATATGTAATTTAGGCTTTCGTTCAGATTTTATTATCGCATTGCGAACAAAAATACGCAATTAGAAAAAAAAACTATTTTCTCATTTTCATAATGAGTTGTTTGTGCTATGAGCTCAGCAACAAACGACCCTTATTGCTTTTTAATGTATTTTGTGTTCATTTCATCAAAGTCGACTTTGATAAATGTGGGCTAAGGACTGTCTTCGAAGGTCAAAAGTTGTGTCCTCAATCAGATAGTTAACTCAAGTGATCCATCATCTGTTTCTTACTAAGTAGACTGTGTCGGTTGAGTTCACATCTCGATTGTAGTACACTTTGTTGTTCCCACTCTCCAACACCAGAATGTATCCAGGGTACACTCGCACATGATCTGGTGCTGAGTATGTCCCCAGATCCAGGTAGTAGAGGCCATAGCAGCCACACGAGTCCAAAGCGCATGAGTCATCCAGAGGAACCTTCCGAAAGCGCGAAGGTAAGTTGAACACCACTTCTTCAAAATTTTTCAATTCGGCGCTACCCATGGCTTCAAAAAACCGTTTCACAGTCAATAGTTTTTTCATTAAAATTAAAACCTTGTTTATGTTAAATCACTTAATGTTTGCAGAATTGTCTGCATAAAACCATTTTGCAAAAAAGGAAATGACTAACTTTCACCTAACAAAACTGAACAAAAGTCATTCATTCCTGAGTTTGTAATGAATGAAGAATTGTTCCAAGTTAGAGACTAACGGTCCACTCCTGCACAAAGGCATAGTCAATGCCATTAGTGGTGAAGGAGTCCGATCTGTGTGTGGGTGAGCAGGTGTGGTCAGTGCAGCCTCCCCCCATCTGACAGTAGGCCCCACCCATGCCACACCTGTAGGAGAAGGGGGGCAGGCAGGGGGTGGAGCTGTCAGTGCATGTCATGGTGTCGAAGCACCAGTGCTCACTCCCACTGCCACACGAGGGTGCAAACAGCTGCAAATCAGACAGAATAACACAAAACTGAAAAAAGATCATACTAAAAAACTTTCTCTCTTTTTTTGCCCCGATCAAACATTTTGATTCTATAACAAAAACCAATTTGAGATTTTCGAGGTTTTTTTCTTTTTTGTTTGTCGTCTCATTTCTTAAATAGCTTCATCAGTGGATGATTTAAAAACTTTAGATAAAGGGCATAGTCGAGAGTTCTTTTAAGTTATTCTTGGCTTTTGAGTTCTTTTTAACCAGATTAGAAAAACGTAGAATCATTTTCTGCCGTCTAAGCTTTAAAAATATAAATTCATTTCAAATTCTCAACTTAGGACAAACTAATAACAAAATAGCAAACTAAGGAACAAAATAATGATCACTTTCGTTTCTGACCTTGAACTTAATCGACTCTCCTGTGCCGGCGGCCTTGACATAATACTGGAAGCCCTTGAGAATTCCCTCGCAGCTGAACTCGTAGAGTGGATCGAACAGCTGTTTGGCTGTGCCTGAGTCGTAGAAGTGGTCGTCTGGGTCCAGGTAGTCCGCACAGCTCACAGATTGCAGCACGGGTGATCCCGCCTGGCAGTGGTAGGGGTCTGCAAAGTGAACACACTGAGAAATAACTTCATTTTGAAACATAAATCAAAAGTTTGAAAGCTATTTTAGTTGATCAAATTACACAAAATAGTTTGGCTTTTGAAAACTTGGTTTCACAATTTTTCAAAACAGAGGCGTCTAGTTGCAGACTAAAATTGGTATAAACAAAAGCAATCATGTCTCTGTTTAACTGAGGAATCCATGAAAAAACTTTCAATTAAATAAAAACAAAAAAGCAGGTTGCTGGGCTACTAGCACAGAATGTTCCGACCACCTTTTATTGAACATTATATTTTTTTCTACTGAATTTCCTGCCCGCATTAGAGTTTCGTAGAAACTAATCAATTATTTTGAATTTTCATTTTCAGTCTCCATAAAAATTTAAAAAACAATCAATTATAATTGATTACTGCAGATTAGTTTTAGTTTCGCCCAACCATCAAAATATATTTTCATCAATTATATTCAGTTATAATCATTTTTTTCCTAATTTGTCAGAAATTTTCGAAAACCAGTGCCAAAATTTACAGTTGTTTTGGTTTAAAACACAGTGCATAAGTAAAGTTCAAAAGAAGGATTTAGTTTGGCTAAAAAACTGCTTTCTGGTTTTCTTTCAATTGTTTCCTTTCCCCCTATTTTCTATTTCCCTTCTTTTGCCCCTTGTTTATTGAACGTTGGGTTAGGTACAAAAGTTTGGGGGGTCGCGATAAATGTGAGGGGGTGGTAAACTAGGGTTTAAGCGTTTTCATGGTCTTTTGTCTAAATTAACGTGTGTAATCAGGGGCGGATCTAGGATTTTCTCGAGGGGGGGGGGGGGCGATTTTCAAAAAAATTTCGAAAATTTTGTCAACCTTTTTTTTTGGTCGATCAAATTGATTTTCTGAGCACTCCCAAATCACTATAAAGACCCATTCTGACCAAATTTTCTGCGCCGCAGGCAAGTTTTCTGAAAAAACAGGCCAAACATTTCTTAAAAAAGGCCAAAATTTTGACCAAAAAATCGCGTTTTTCGGCACGCGCTCCCCTCTCAAAGGCACCCTTAGAAAATTTTTAGTGTCAGTCAGCCAAAAATGAACATCTCAAAATAGTACAAAGGAGGACCAATAGGGCTTTGTTTCGATACCACACTTGACGCCTGTGAGTTTTCCTTCAGGCAACTTAAATTGGGCAAAAACTTACTTGCTAATCAGTCCGTAGCTTCTTAATAACGGATTTTCAGGCTATCAAATCGATCATACTCTTTTGAAAACTATACTCTTGATATAACATTCGAGAAGAACTAAAATCCTTTGTTAGTGTTTATTTTGGAGCATACTAATCACAAGTTATATACAAAAATTTATTCAAATGATCCACACAATTTATACCAGGGGCTGATTTAGGGGGGGGGGGGGGGGTCGTCGTTGGACACTCTCTTCCCTCAGGGATTCGGCTCCCTCGCCGAAAAATGGGCCCCCTTTGGTATTTTTTTACATCCATTTTAGGCCGACCAATCCTAAAACTTTTCTAAGGCGCCTTAGGCGACATTGTATACTAAATTTGAAGGGGAGTGCGCGCCAGAAAAAAGCATTTTTTTTTGGTCTAAATTTACCTAAAAAAGCACAAAAACGGATTTTTGACCTGTTTTTTTTTTTGTTTTTTCAAACACTTGCTTTACGGCGCATAATTTTTGGTCAAAAATGGGTCTATATACTGTTCTGGGAGTGCTCGGAAAACCAATTTGGTCGACCTATGAAAACAGTCGACTAATTTTTCGAAAAATTTTGAAAATGCCCCCCTCCCCCTTGAGAAAATTCTAAATCTGGCCCTGATTTATACGGATAAAATGCACAAATAAAACATTCTTTGATAGACTTTTCCAAAAAAGAGTAAAAAATGTTTTTTGTACTCGTCATAATGTGTTTGATTTAAAAATGTCAAACAAAATATATAATCTTATCTATTTAGTTTTATTTGGATAATTTTAATTAGAAAAAATTTTTAATTAGATTAAAATTTGCCAATGCGGGAAGTTCAACATTTATACACATTAAACATGATTTCGATTAAGAATCAACTAAATGCTCTGGCAACAAATAACTCACTCTCTATTCGGGAGAAGTCGAACTGCTTCCTGTCCTTTTCCCCCCAGAATATCTTGGCCATGACGCCAGTGCCGAGGATGGACGTGACAGAGCAGTTGGCCTTCAGTCCGAATCTGAAGATGCCAGTGGGACCACAGGAGGCCACCACCCCCTCCTTCCTGATTGACTCAACCACAGTCACACTCGTAGCATCTATCGCAGGCTGAACAGAAAACTATTATTACTCAGAGACCGTGGAAAGCTTCGCACCACTTGCAATACAACACAAATATAACATTGTAAACTAGACGACAGGAAATGAGACAGAAGCAACAAAGTAAAACAAATTGTTTTTCAAAATCCGAAAAAGTAGATCCCATTATATTTGTTCACGATATTTTGTCATTAAAAAAATACGCAATTTTTCAAGTGAAAAAACATGAACGCTTTTAAAAATGTTTCTTTCTTGACCGTTTTCATTTTGACAGTAAAGTAAGTTTTAAAGAATGCACTCACATATCTGCTGTCGGCAATTCCAGTAACGATGAATGTGCCTGGGTAGGGGTACACCCACTCCATCCACGTGAGTGGGTGGGGGTGGGTGCGACCGGCACCTGTGCCGAAGTCAAACTGGTAGTTCATCTGACAATCAAAACAAAAAATAAAGCTATTTAACTGAAGCTAATTTTTTTTGGAAACGAAAGATAGTATAAGTTGCCATTTGACCCAAATTGAGCATAAACTCGGTTTGATACCACTACACAGTTAGTTTTATATCCTGGTTTTGAAATTCCGTATTAAAATCTATGAGAATTAAATCAAAATTATTTAATTTGAGTCACATGGATTGTAAAAATAAAGTTGCAAAAAAAGAACATTGTATATTGTGCAAATTAGTAAGATTTAATTGTACCCAGCTCTTGCAGAATCCGGCGGGAGGTTCATAGTCCATGACTGCACGAGTGACCATATTCGTCTCCAGACTCTTGCTCAGTTCCATAAACCATGCGGAGGAGATTCCTTTCTGAGTGGTGAAGATGCTCGAGCTACAAGGGCGTCAACAGTTTACTTTCTTTATAAATTCCATTTATTAAACCAGACAGAGGAGATTTCCTTCCGAGTGATGAAGATGCTCGAGCTACATGGGCGTGAACAGTTTACTTTATTTATAAATTCCATTTATTAAAACCAGACAGAGGATATTTCCTTCCGAGTGATGAAGATGCTCGAGCTACATGGGCGTGAACAGTTTACTTTAATTATAAATTCCATTTATTAAACCAGACAGAGGAGATTTCCTTCCGAGTGATGAAGATGCTCGAGCTACATGGGCGTGAACAGTTTACTTTATTTATAAACTCCATTTATTAAACCAGACAGTGGAGATTTCCTTCTGAGTGATGAAGATGCTCGAGCTACAAGGGCGTCAACAGTTTACTTTATTTGTAAATTCCATTTAAAAAACCAGATAGAGAAGATTTCCTTCTGAGTGACGAAGATGCTTGAACTACATGGGCGTCAACAGTTTACTTTATTTGTAAATTCCATTTAAAAAACCAGATAGAGAAGATTTCCTTCCGAGTGATGAAGATGCTCGAGCTACATGGGAGTGAACAGTTTACTTTATTTATAAATTCCATGTATTAAACCAGACAGAGGAGATTTCCTTCCGAGTGATGAAGATGCTCGAGCTACATGGGCGTGATCAGTTTACTTTATTTATAAATTCCATTTATTAAACCAGACAGAGGAGATTTCCTTCTGAGTGATGAAGATGCTCGAATTACAAGGGCGTCAACAGTTTACTTTATTTATAAATTCCATTTATAAGAACAGACAGAGGAGATTTCCTTCTGAGTGATGAAGATGCTCGAGCTACAAGGGCGTCAACAGTTTACTTTATTTATAAATTCCATTTATTAAACCTGACAGAGGAGATTTCCTTCCGAGTGATGAAGATGCTCGAGCTACATGGGCGTGAACAGTTTACTTTTTTATAAATTCCATGTATTAAACCAGACAGAGGAGATTTCCTTCCGAGTGATGAAAATGCTCGAGCTACATGGGCGTGAACAGTTTTTTTTATTTATAAATTCCATTTCTTAAACCAGACAGAGGAGATTTCCTTCTGAGTGATGAAGATGCTCGAGCTACAAGGGCGTCAACAGTTTACTTTATTTATAAATTCCATTTATTAAACCAGACAGAGGAGATTTCCTTCCGAGTGATGAAGATGCTCGAGCTACATGGGCGTGAACAGTTTACTTTATTTATAAATTCCATTTATTAAACCAGACAGAGGAGATTTCCTTCCGAGTGATGAAGATGCTCGAGCCTAAAGGGCGTCAACAGTTTATTTTATTTATAAATTCCATTTATTAAACCAGACAGAGGAGATTTCCTTCCGAGTGATGAAGATGCTCGAGCTACAAGGGCGTGAACAGTTTACTTTATTTATAAATTCCATTTATTAAACCAGACAGAGGAGATTTCCTTCCGAGTGATGAAGATGCTCGAGCTACAAGGGCGTGAACAGTTTACTTTATTTATAAATTCCATTTATTAAACCAGACAGAGGAGATTTCCTTCTGAGTGATGAAGATGCTGGAGCGACAAGGGCGTCAACAGTTTACTTTAATAATAAATTCCATTTATTAAACCAGACAGAGGAGATTTCCTTCCGAGTGATGAAGATGCTCGAGCTACATGGGCTTGAACAGTTTATTTTTTTTATAAAATCCATTTATTAAACCAGACAGAGGAGATTTCCCTCTGAGTGATGAAGATGCTCGAGCTACAAGGGCGTCAACAGTTTACTTTATTTATAAATTCCATTTATTAAACCTGACAGAGGAGATTTCCTTCCGAGTGATGAAGATGCTCGAGCTACATGGGCGTGAACAGTTTACTTTTTTTTATAAATTCCATGTATTAAACCAGACAGAGGAGATTTCCTTCCGAGTGATGAAAATGCTCGAGCTACATGGGCGTGAACAGTTTACTTTATTTATAAATTCCATTTTTTAAACCAGACAGAGGAGATTTCCTTCTGAGTGATGAAGATGCTCGAGCTACAAGGGCGTCAACAGTTTACTTTACTTATAAATTCCATTTATTAAACCAGACAGAGGAGATTTCCTTCCGAGTGATGAAGATGCTCGAGCTACATGGGCGTGAACAGTTTACTTTATTTATAAATTCCATTTATTAAACCAGACAGAGGAGATTTCCTTCCGAGTGATGAAGATGCTCGAGCCTAAAGGGCGTCAACAGTTTATTTTATTTATAAATTCCATTTATTAAACCAGACAGAGGAGATTTCCTTCCGAGTGATGAAGATGCTCGAGCTACAAGGGCGTGAACAGTTTACTTTATTTATAAATTCCATTTATTAAACCAGACAGAGGAGATTTCCTTCCGAGTGATGAAGATGCTCGAGCTACAAGGGCGTGAACAGTTTATTTTATTTATAAATTCCATTTATTAAACCAGACAGAGGAGATTTCCTTCTGAGTGATGAAGATGCTGGAGCGACAAGGGCGTCAACAGTTTACTTTAATAATAAATTCCATTTATTAAACCAGACAGAGGAGATTTCCTTCCGAGTGATGAAGATGCTCGAGCTACATGGGCTTGAACAGTTTATTTTATTTATAAAATCCATTTATTAAACCAGACAGAGGAGATTTCCCTCTGAGTGATGAAGATGCTCGAGCTACAAGGGCGTCAACAGTTTACTTTATTTATAAATTCCATTTATTAAATCAGATAGAGGAAATTTCCTTCCGAGTGGTGAAGATGCTCGAGCTACATGGGCGTGAACAGTTTACTTTATTTATAAATTCCATTTATTAAACCAGACAGAGGAGATATCCTTCCGAGTGATGAAGATGCTCGAGCTACAAGGGCGTCAACAGTTTATTTTATTTATAAATTCCATTTATTAAACCAGACAGAGGAGATTTCCTTCCGAGTGATGAAGATGCTCGAACTACTTGGGCGTGAACAGTTTACTTTATTTATAAATTCCATTTATTAAACCAGACAGAGGAGATTTCCTTCCGAGTGATGAAGATGCTCGAGCAACATGGGCGTGAACAGTTTACTTTATTTATAAATTCCATTTATTAAACCAGACAGAGGAGATTTCCTTCTGAGTGATGAAGATGCTCGAGGTACAAGGGCGTCAACAGTTTACTTTAAAAAAAATTCCATTTATTAAACCAGACAGAGGAGATTTCCTTCTGAGTGATGAAGATGCTCGAGCTACATGGGCGTGAACAGCTTACTTTATTTATAAATTCCATTTATTAAACCAGACAGAGGAGATTTCCCTCTGAGTGATGAAGATGCTCGAGCTAGAAGGGCGTCAACAGTTTACTTTATTTATAAATTCCATTTATTAAACCAGATAGAGGAGATTTCCTTCCGAGTGGTGAAGATGCTCGAGCTGCATGGGCGTGAACAGTTTACTTTATTTATAAATTCTATTTATTTAACCAGACAGAGGAAATTTCCTTCTGAGTGATGAAGATGCTCGAACTACTTGGGCGTGAACAGTTTACTTTATTTATAAATTCCATTTATTAAACCAGACAGAGGAGATTTCCTTCCGAGTGATGAAGATGCTCGAGCAACATGGGCGTGAACAGTTTACTTTATTTATAAATTCCATTTATTAAACCAGACAGAGGAGATTTCCTTCTGAGTGATAAAGATGCTCGAGCTACAAGGGCGTCAACAGTTTACTTTAAAAATAAATTCCATTTATTAAACCAGACAGAGGAGATTTCCTTCTGAGTGATGAAGATGCTCGAGCTACATGGGCGTGAACAGCTTACTTTATTTATAAATTCCATTTATTAAACCAGACAGAGGAGATTTCCCTCTGAGTGATGAAGATGCTCGAGCTAGAAGGGCGTCAACAGTTTACTTTATTTATAAATTCCATTTATTAAACCAGTTAGAGGAGATTTCCTTCCGAGTGGTGAAGATGCTCGAGCTACATGGGCGTGAAAAGTTTACTTTATTTATAAATTCTATTAATTTAACCAGACAGAGGAAATTTCCTTCTGAGTGATGAAGATGCTCCAGCTACAAGGGCGTCAACAGTTTACGTTCTTTATAAATTCCTTTTAAAAAACCAGATAGAGGAGATTTCCTTCTGAGTGATGAAGATGCTTGAGCTACATGGGCGTCAACAGTTTACTTCAATTATAAATTCCATTTATTAAACCAGATAGAGGAAATTTTCTTCCGAGTGGTGAAGATGCTCGAGCTAGATGGGCGTGAATATTTTACTTTATTTATAAATTCCGTTTAATAAACCAGATAGAGGAGATTTCCGTCTGAGTGTTGAAGATGCTCGAGCTACAAGGGCGTCAACAGTTTACTTTCTTTGTAAATTCCATTTGAAAAACCAGATAGAGGAGATTTCCTTTTGAGTGATGAAGATGCTTGAGCTACATGGGCGTCAACAGTTTACTTTATTTATAAATTCCACTTATTAAACCAGACAGAGGAGACTTCCTTCTGAGTGATGGAGTTGCTTGAGCTACATGGGCGTCAACAGTTTATTTTATTTATAAATTCCGTTTATTAAACCAGATAGAGGAGATTTCCTTCCGAGTTGTGAAGATACTCGAGCTACATGGGCGTCAACAGTTTATTTTCTTTATAAATTCCATTTAATAAACCAGATAGAGGAGATTCCCTTCTGAGTGATGAAGATGCTTGAGCTACATGGGCGTCAACAGTTTTTTTAATTTATAAATTCCATTTATCAAACCAGACAGAGGAGATTTCCTTCTGAGTGATGAAGATGCTTGAGCTACATGGGCGTCAACAGTTTACTTTATTTATAAATTCCATTTATTAAACCAGACAGAGGAGATTTCCTTCCGAGTGGTGAAGATGCTCGAGCTACATGGGCGTGAACAGTTTACTTTATTTATAAATTCCATTTAATAAACCAGATAGAGGAGATTTACTTCTGAGTGATGAAGATGCTCGAGCTACAAGGGCGTCAGCAGTTTACTTTCTTTGT